TCTTCAATGTTCAGAGTCACTAGATAGTTATTTCAATCTAACAACTAGTTCAGACTAGTTTAATAAATTAATAAATTCAAATATTCAGTGTATAGAAGACAAAGGCAATATGTCAAGTTTTTGTGTGAAATTGATGTACATTTCTACTTATGTTTTCAATAATACAAGCTACAATAACATTAATGTACAGTGTTTGAAAAGTAAAAAGCAAATATTTTATGAATGTTGAAACATAATATTCTGCACTATTTTAATATTGGAATGAGATTTATAACTCATGTTTCTCGAGATTATATTTTTTTGGACATACTGCATTTTTTTGTGTATATACTCGATATTACCAATACAAAGTGTCGAGCAAAGTGGCTTTCTTTTGCTTTTACTTAATATCTAAAAATGCATTCAAATATCTCTGTATATGCCGAGGTCATTGAAACAGATGAGCTCTAATACAACTGCTATATTGACAAAAAAGGGTAACTCAGAAACTGACCAAATGTTTTAAAATAAAACGTGAGTGATCTCCCTTAAATTTTCTTTGTATATTTTTATATATCAGCAAGGGGAAAGCCACTTCTAGCTTGATCGGGGCTACAGAAATGACTTTTTATTATTTTTTTCAATACCTGTATTGTTTATACACTATAGAACCAAGTGGAAAGAGTTGCGCACCAAATAATCTTAAACAATATGTGTATAATAGAATGAAAAATGCTACTTCCGGTCACCATTAAGGAAACACAGGGCATTTTCAGTCAAGACAATAGGATGCTGTACCTATGTATAAAAGGTGTTCTTTCTAACTGAAACTATACTCAATCATCAGTGTCTTGGAAACCAGTTCCTGAAGCCACTCAACAAGTTTAATTATTTGTACTTACATAGGGAATTTCGGCTTCCTAACAGTACTCGTTACTTTCGTTTATCGAAATCATTCAAAAGTTGATAGAAACTTACGAATTCAATGTTATGCTTACATGTAACATTTTGTTGCCCACCTAATTCAAACGGTACCCAAGTTATTGGCTTTTGAGAAACTGGAAATGGAGCAGTACCACTTCTGGTTACCGGAAATCGCACACAAGTTTACAGAGATGTACAACTTTGAAGCAATCTACTTACATAAGCACAGTGTGTAAGACTGTAAGAGCGAAGCCAAAGGGAACTTTGAATTTAGGTCATGGGTCAGGCTTTACTTTAAAATAAAGATGGCTGGTCTATGGGAGAAACTCGATTCTAGATTTTATGTTTTGATGTTAACTAGAGAAAGATAGTAAACATAATGAAATACATACCTCTATTGGTGTTTCTATATGTTTTAAATTGAATGAGTTTCGTAATGAAATGAATTAATTAAAGTTTGATAATATATCCTCGATGTGTAAGCTGCTACTCTCATTAGGAGGCCTAACCTCCTCAGTCAAAGACTTAGAGCAGCAGGCAACTTCCTGATCTGCAAATTGTTTTTTTTTTGTTGCCTTTTTTATGCCTTTCCAGCTCACTCTGCTGCCCCTGCCTCTAATCTTTCAACGCATTATTGTGAAGAAAGACTCTTTTTTTAAGGCCATAGTGGTTTGCAGCTCTCAGGTAGCCCATTTCACCAATGATGACCTTTTCAACCGCAGCTTTCATTCCCTCCTTGTCATAGGCCGAAGTTTTTCATTTTTAAATGCGGACCATTCTGAAATGAGAACAAAATTAAATGTTAGAAAGTCTAATTACTAATGTGTGTATGGGGGATGTTTAGCTATAAATATTGCATAAATTATAATAAACAATGTAGGTACAGTAAAAATAATATCAAACTATAGGGTAAGGAATTGCCCCACACCTATTATTGAGAAAAAGAAAGTATGCTTTCCTGTTCTAAATTAATGGCTAAATCTAGCATAATTAATTGTAACCAATAACAAAAATGATTAAGCTATCATAAAATCAATAAATAATTGACAGCAAGTGTAATTGCTCATATTTTAAATCTCTCCCACCTAACCCCTCTGTAACACGATTCAGGATAAAACCATTATGTAAATAACAAATAAACTTGTCTAACACTAGATGTTAAACCACATCATCCTTGGCTTATATTCGGGACCAGCATTCACGGGATTTTTAATAAAAGTTGTAAAGATTTTCTAGAAAAATGTTACTATGTTTTCTAAGAAAACAAGCATAAATCTTACGTAATGATTTCTTTTTCGAGAAAACGGTATGACAAAAATAACATCTTGTGGATTCAAGCGTACAAAGTAGGTCAACACATTTTGAATGCTGCTATACACAACATGTCGGCATACAATGGTCGAGTATCTCCGCGACGATCTTTAAGACAATTTTTTTTTCTATTCCGATGTTTAATATTAGCACAACTTTTATATAATGAACACGAGTTCACTGTAGTGACAGACATTCCCACACACTACACAGATAATGTAAATAGTCAGGTCTTCTTCCTTTACTATAGAAGAAGAAAGTCGGGTACAGAAAAAACAAGTTAATAAAAAGTCTATTGACAATTTAAGCGTAATTTCCTTATGTTATCCATAACAATTTTTAATTTTTTGTGACCGAACGAAAGGATATTTTATTGCGCTAAAAAAAAGACAACTATATTAACCTATATCAACGGAAATAGTTTTATTTTAACGAGTAGGCCTACACGATGCTCAGTTTTTAAAAAAGTAGTAAATATCATCCTAGGCCTACACGATGCTCAGTGTAAAAAATTAGTAAATATTTTTTTGTGACCGAACGAAAGGGTATTTTTGAAAACTTTCTTCGGCAATATTGTTCTAAATTATGGCAGGAATCGATTTGTAAATGTTTCAAGTCGCTAAGTAGTCTGGTTGCCGAGATATGGGCCAAAAACCGCATTTTTTTCGAGATTTTTTGGCTTTTCCGGGAAATCCAGGAAGGAATTTTGGGAATTTTTTAGGCCCACAATCATCCTCGGAACTTGCTTAACATATTTGCTTTTGGAACTAGTCCTCGATATTGCTTCGTTGAGGAGGAGATACGACTTAAACCTGCGGACACACATCCATTCATTGCGGACACACATGCATCCATCCATCCAGAAATGACGAGTTAATAATCACAATTCCTGTAAGGAAATTGCGCTAAAAATTAGACGTTTGTACATTACGTTCAGTGGATGAAAGTACATGTCAGAAAGAAATATTACTATTGTAAATATGTATCAGTCCTCACAAGCCGATGATAAAAATTTGTTTAATGAATCCAACATGGCAAGGTAAACCGAAGCTGTAAATTACATTTCTGAGGCACACAAAAAACAAATTACAATAATTCAAACAGTAAGAGGGTCAGAGACACTTCTCTATCGGAGATATAATTAAATAATGCAATATTTCCATGTGCATTATGTTTTATAATAAAAAGAAGATCCTAAAACCGACAGGATATGTTTTAAAAGCATAGGTGGATCATACTGCTACGCAGAGTTTCTTTCAAGCAATCCCCCAACCTATCAGAAGTACTCTACCGTCCCCCCCCCCAATCCCCCGCTCTAACGAAATATAATTGTACAAAAAAATATACTTTTACCAGTGTCCGCTCCCGCCCCCCCCCCCCCCCCCCCCCAAAAAAAAAAATAAATAAATAAATTGTAATATTAACAACAAAGTATGCACAAAGAATTTAATAAAAACAAGTTAACTACAAGAGTAGGCTACATGGCTACATGTGAAATTATCAAAATTTAAAAAAAGGATGAACTACATTGACCATAAAATGGTTGCAAACGATACAGTTAATAAAATAAAGTCTGTAAAAAAAAAGGTACCTCTCGAGTCGGACCCAACAGGCGTGCTTACTGATGTAAGCGTTAAACTTAGAGCTAGTAAGATAGTACATTCTGAGTTTTCTCCCCTTATATAAGCCTGATGTGAACCAGTCTAATACATCTAAGTAGTATATTAATCTGCATTATATATCTTCGTCAAAGCATGCTGCGATAACTAAGAGAAAAGAGCTGGGGTGGAGGAAAGAATGCAGGTAGCTTGGTTGGGTCGTTACCAAGATCGCAGTATAATAGTTTTACCTCACACCCCTTGCCTTGCTAAAAAATTTCGTGGTGACGCAATTTTAGCAAAGGAATAAAACAAAAACAAAAAATATAATCATGTGCATTTCAAAAGTACAGGCAAAATAAAATGTAAATGTACATTGTCTGACGACAGGCAACAGTATTTTAGAGTCGGCCAGGTTTGGCGAAAATCAGACATAAAACATTACAATTATTACAAAATTGCAAACATTATGCCTTGAGAGGCTATATTAAATAAACATTGGTATATGTTTTAAAATGTGGCGCTGTAAGAAGTGACATGGTATTTTATAAGTTTTTACATTTAATAAAAGTTATCAATGCAAAAGGTTTGTTAGTAGGTTATCTGTAAAATACAAGCAAGTCAAACAAATAAATGAAAATATATAAAAACACCAAAAAAAACGATATTTAAAAAAACATGATCAAATTAAAAAGATTTTATAGGGAATTTTGTAAAAAATATCACAGTTAGCCTTAAACTGGTTTAATCATGTATTATCTGAGCAGCTCAAATCAAAGCGATGTTAAAATTGAGCTTAGTGCAGTCTTAAGACAATACACTACTTTCAAATTACATCTCACGTCAAACTAGCTAAGTTATGCTAAATGATTAGTCGAAACTGAATATAAAGCTTTTAGGAAAGAGTAAATCGCTTAGGAGGTAGTAATCGGAACACCAGCTATCATGCAGATAACTTGTCTCTCGATGACTTACGCTGGTATCCTTAAGCCATCAGTTGCTTCATTAAATTATGTATATGTTTCTTTCGGTCGGCCAGTGTGAACATTACTACTCTTAAATTAGCAACGTACACAGTAAGCAATCGTGTATTTGGTCACATGTGACCACTCCAGGTTTACTTGCAGACGATGTAAGTCTAAGACCTCCAACCCCCCCCCCCCCCCCACCCCGGTAATGATTCCACAATTTGATGGCTCTTGGCTCTTAAGTAAGGGGATTCATCGAAGGGAAATAGATTTTGTCGTGGGAAAAGAGTTCTTTCCCTTAGTGATGACAAGAAAAAAGTATTAGAGCTAATATCAGTTGATAGCTACTTAACCTTAAGCTTATTTAGCCGATATGGAGTCAATCAACAATAAACTAGCCGAGTTTTTTATAATGAAAGAGAGAGAGAGATAAAGCGAGACAGAGGCACGAAAAAATACTTGTCCTTAAGTTTGTAATATTTTTAAAACTCTACATGAATGTTGAGCTCACTGCTGCTCACACTTCCGTTTAAAACATTAAATTTATCATCACTGTGTACTGACACTAGATCCTCAACAAACTGATTACCATAGATGTGAATGTCATCATTAATATTTCGCACGGTTTTGTCTTGACTGGTGGAAGTAAAATCTAGACAACTTGACACACTTTCTTCACTGTCGTTAAAGACGTTAAGTGTTTGCTCCACATCACCAACTTTGACTTCAGTATTTACTGGGTTACAGTTGATTGAGAGTGAAGAATTGCGGATCTTCGTGAAGGACGATATTTCGTTTAAAGAATTACACCGCTTATGTGAAGATCCGCTGGAGCTTGATGCAAACGTTTCAGAGCTCATGTCGATGCCGCTGTCGTTTGGTGATGTGGCACCGCTGGTGTTGGGAGAGACAGCAACGGTGTTGCTTATATTTGCGCCCTGTAGAAATATTTAAAACGTTAATTTATTATAGATTTAGAAAAGTGAACATTCACTTGTGATATTTTTTGTTACGTTTTTATGTTTAAACTCAACCCACCGATGTAGATATTTCTTCCGTGATTCGGATTAATGATGTTTCAGCCTCGCTAACACACTGTGTCGAAATATTGAATAAATTTAAAATACATCTTTAAATATTTTTTTACTTGTAATTTATGTTGTCAAATCTTGATTCGTTTGTCTTTAAATACACGTTGAACAAACCAAGCTTTATATTAGCTCCAATAACAGTAAGATATTTTGTTGTTTAGTTTAAACACCTTCTTTGAAATTTTGTAAATATGCGTTTTACAATTCTAATTTAATTAAATTTTAGTAAGATACTAACATTGATAAATATATTTAATGTTTATAACACTTACCAACCACTGTAACTCTTCCGTAGCCTCGAATTCTTCGGTTATTTCTTCAATCCGGCGTTGTCCTTTCTTACATTTTGTAAATCCTAACCAGCTGAAAAGTATTCAAGCAATAGATTTTTTTAACATTTAGTTGTATTAATATGTGGATGTTATTATATTAACAAACTTAACAATAAAAATGGTTTTTAAAAGTGATTTTTACCTTGATGTCACAATTAGCAGTATTGTCACAATGACTACAGGGATGATCACAAAGAAATGTTTCGCATCCTCAGAATGGGGGTACTTTCCTTAAAATAAAACACTTACTTACAAATAACTACATAAAACACTTGGGTAAAAACCGAAACATTACTAGGAAAATTGTGACTACATATGTGATGATGTTATTTGAATGGATATTTTTCTCCGTGTAATATGATGTATGCTTAGGTGGTATTCGTTTAAATTTGCAATTCGTAGATTTATAAATTGGTATAAGCTACTTATTATATTCATTTATTTATTTTTATTTTTAAAAGTATTGAAATTGTATAAATAATGTTCGTGATGTAAATTTTAAACGAAAAAATAAAACAATGCAAAATTTACCCTTGAAAAAATTGAACACCGGCCCAAAGATAGCAGACACATTATTCTGACCAATCACATCGATGCACACAATTTTTGTGTGAGTTGGTACGACGCAGTGGACGTCGTCAAAGATCTTATTGCTGAGGTTAGCAATTTGTTGCCCTTAAATAAACAATAGATGGCTACTCAGACTGTATAAATACATTATTTCAACACTACATTTAAGAACGAAGAGAATATCAATATGTATACTAAATTAAGTGAAAAAAATCTTTGCCAGTTAATTTTTATTTTATGTTATATATATATATATATATATATATATATATATATATATATATATATATATATATATATAATAGCGTTTATCTAACGCATTACAATTGTGCACAATTCAATCCTACTTACTGTCCTTATCACAATTAGGACTTGATGAAGAAAATACTACAAAATATTTAGCCATGAATTGGTGCGGACTTGGTTCACAATTTTGCATAAATGAAAGACGTTGTATATTGTTATCTTCAGCCGACACATGTAGTTTAGTGATGTTAAACTTGACATTTGCTAAGGCTAGAAAATATGTTATATATTATAATTTATAATAAACAAAATAATCAAAATTTACGTCTAAAAATATTAAACAATTAGTATTAATAGGTAGAGTCTTTATCATCATTATAAGGCTAATATCTTGTAATATTAAAATCTACAACTTATCTAAAAGAAAATTTTAGCGTGTTATCTAAAAAAATACAGATACACGTGTAACTTATAGTGATCACAGGACTATGCTTAAAATACCTATATTAAATTTTTTTAACTATAGATACAGATCCTTGTTATAATTATACTGTTATAATGATTTATATAAAACTCGGTCATTAAGTCAATTATAAATTGAATAGACAAGCTGTGGATTATATTACTTACATAAATGCATTATAACAAGATAAGTATTTATATATATTTTTTTAGCATGATACTCGTATATTTTTAAAAATCAATGTTGCCCTTATATACTAATAGTGTCGTATACTTACAAGATCCATGTCGTTTAAACCAATGTTGTCCTTTAAACTAATAATGTCGTATACTTACATGATCCATGTCGTTTAAAGTCACCAAAGTAACAATTTATCGGGACTATCGATGTCCAATCACCATCAACCATCACTGATATAAAAATTATCTTATTTTTCATTTCTTCATAGATCAAACGGTATTCTTCAACATTCGATGAGCAAACACGCTTTGAATTTCGCAACTTTTCAAATTCACTTTTGTCAGCAAAATTAGAATTAATTGAAATATTTAATGAGTCGTTATGATTGTTAAAATAAAAAAACTGCATTTCAACGTTGTGAGCATCCAGTTGACACAAACGGCTGATGACAGGAACAGTAAATTCATATATCGGGTTGCCCTTATCGCTAACTTTATCCAAATCAAAAACTTCCGTTACCAATATCTCCTGTAATAAAGAAAATATTTTACATGAAAGTTCTCTTTTTTCAATTCTATATTGACTATTTGTCGTTGATTAATAAAACTTTAATATAATGTACCTTAATGTACCTTATAATGAATGTGTAAGTCTTCGAGGTGTTGCGTACATTATGTAGGGCTAGTTAATATTTGCAATTTTAACCAATGAAAAGACACGGGTAAAAGCAGTTTTTTTATTTCATTTTTTTAATAACCTTACATTTGTAAAATATATTTTTTACATCAAAATTGATTATTGAAGTGACTCACTAGACAAATATCCTGATTTAAATGGGTTCCTTCCTCACATACTTGTATGGCTATTTTCTCAGCACCACCAACGGAGCTAGAGTTCACATATATTTTCACTTCACCTTCTTCAGAGAACTCAGCTGCTGCCAAAATGTCAGGTGGCTCTGGGAATATTTTTAAACATTATTTCTTTTTAAACTTAGATTATGATAAACATTGACTGATACTGATACAGTTAAATATGTTGAGTAAAGTTTTAAAAGGTTATATTACTTTTTTTATTAACAAATGTGCTAATCGTTTTAACTTATCTTTCACATAATATAAAATCAATATAATTTAGAAATCGAAGCTAAAGCAGTGATTGTTTTTAAAACTATACAATTTGTAACGTGTTCTTGATATATAAATTTATATATATATATATATATATATATATATATATATATATATATATTAAGCACTATTTTCTAGGTATCAATTATTTTTAAATGAAGATTTTTGGGTGTCGCCTTACTTTAATTTATCCAAGCGAAGTTTACCTTTTTTCTTGATAAGCATTTCGGAATAGTTTTGTGAGATACCGATTTCATTTTCTGCCCAAAGTTTCACTTTAAGCGCATTTGAATATCGACCGTCTTCAATCATTGCAAAACTTTTGCTTGTGTTCAACTTGTAATTCCATTTCCCAGAAGAGACCTCTATAACATAAATTAGTTTTGCGCCCCCATGAGCTTCTTGTGGTATTGGCTGTAAATTAAACACGACTTGGTTGTTTAATGCCGTAAGGATATTTTTTGTGATAAATTAAATTAGAATATTAAATTGGAAAAAGTAACAGCAACAACTACCTTCCATGAAATGCAAATGTCTGTATAGTCATCTTTTCGAATCACAGCAAAACTAAAAGGATGTAGAGCTGGTGGATGCTCTGGGACTAGATGATAAACATATTAGTTCATTATAAAAAAAATGTTGCTTTTCTTAAGCTGGGGGTACATTAGAGATGTCTTTTATATCCTAAAATATATCATTATTTTATCCTTTTTCCTTTTATTTTTAAATACTGAATTATATTATTAACGCGTAAAATTAAAACATGTGTAACAGACCAACATTTATATTTTTATATTAGTTTAATACAACTGAAATTTAACATTTATAGCATGTTAAGTATCATAAAAAGCAGGTATTGCTATTTTGATTTAACAAAAAAAATTATGTAAAATGAAACCATAAGATAAATAAAATATAATTAACATTTTAACTAACCGTTTTTGTCGGTAGTAAACTCAATGGATAACGTTTTACTATGGTCAACTTGTGTGCTCTTCCTTGCACTGACCGTGTAATTTGTAAACGGTGCCAACCGTGATAGACGAATAGCAACCAAAATATTGCCGTTAACATAGTGCAACTCGCTTTTATTCATCTTAAGCTGGAAAGTTGAAATTAAATGAATAAGGCAATTTTAGTATTCTAATCATTTTAATGCAGCTATCTGTGTTTAGCAGTATCATTTTTTAAAAAAAGCTATTAACAAAACTGCTTCAAAATATAAACACACATCATAAATATGTGTTTTAATGTACTAAGATTATGACAACGCAGGCATGAATTTTATTTTTCATCACCTAAAACCTTGTTAAATATGTTTATCTCTAAGTATACACATACATATATATATATATATATATATATATATATATATATATATATATATATATATATATATATATATATATATATATATATATATATATATATATATATATATATATATATATATAACTGTGCCATTAGTAAGAAGTTTTATTTTCTTTTAGTATAAATAAAACAATCAAACCTCTTAAAATGGTAATGTATTATGTCAACATATTCTTGTTTTTAAAGAAAAACTGTTTTTTAAAAAATGAATAATTGTACTTACATTAACCATTCTATGAGCTACATTTTCAGCCAAAGAAATTTCAAAATTTGTCAGCGGTGTATTTTGTAACTTTTCTTTGCTAGATGCTGGGTTAAGGTTAAATTGACGAAAATATAAGATGGCGTCCTTAGCTGTTTTATTCTGCAGCGCTACATCTGTCAACATACAGTAGCATTTAGTAAACATGAACATTTTTAAATGAAATAAAATAAGTTGTGGACATAAAAATCAGCAGTAATGTATTTATGTTATCCAGTTTATATATTAATATGGTGACACCTAATGATGAGTACAAAAAACCATAAAACTTTAACGTAACGAGCATATTTGCTTTTTTGTTGTTCTTTTTTCCAAATCAAATGTAATTTCTTTTTAATAATGAATAATTTGCTCTAACAATCTTCTTCTTTGTTCATAATACTTATATTGGATTTGATTTTCTCCAACACAAATTAGTGTGGAAAATAGAAAACAGAATTTAAAAATGGATCAAACTGCCATTCGCTCTGTTTCAAAATATTATGTGGTGTATTTTTTCTGTTGTTGGCTATACACTTTCCCTTAGTGTTTGTCATTCAGATCAGATGCTAAAAAACTTTTGAAATGAAGGGCTGACCTAAGGTTAACTTTTGAAATGTGTCTGAAGTAATGTATATATTAATATATATATTAATATATATTACAATATAGATAGATAGATAGATTAATATATATAGATATAGATATAATTTATTAACTGACGATACCTTACCTATCAACGCATTAGTTGTTGAAGAGGTCAAAATCCAGCAGTTAAACCATATCATATAATGATTGATATTGTACTTCATGTTTAGCCTTTTTCAGATGACCACATCACACTCTCTCATTCTATTAGTAAAAAGTTTGCCGTCTGATTCTATTCTTTTTTTTTTCAAATATACATATATATATATATATATATATATATATATATATATATATATATATATATATATATATATATATATATATATATATATATATATATGAAATATATCATAAATAAATCTACTTCTTTATTTTTTTTAGTCTGAAAGTGACACACTAAATTATATTGGTTTTTGTGTGTATTTATAAGTAAGTTATATATGTAAGTTAAATATATATATATATATATATATATATATATATATATATATATATATATATATATATATATATATATATATATATATATATATATATATATATATATATATATATATATATATATATATAAGGTAAGTAAAGTTTCCCTTTCAAACCTGACGGTTTATGGGGCAAATGAAGTAGAGTTCACATTTGTCTGTGACCTCGGCATATGAAGAGATAGTGTGGTCAGCACTATGCCCAGCCGCCTTTATTTTCCCTAACGTGAGTTAGGTACCCATCAGAGTTGGGTGGACTCAGGGACGGTCTACTGACTTGAACCCTGATTCGAACTCGAGACTTACGGTTAGCAGTCCAGCTCTCTACCGCTAGACCACTCCGTCCCTTATATATATATATATATATATATATCATTTAATATTTCGTAAATTCACAGAAATAAATGAATGAGTGTACACCTAAATAAATGTAACTAGAAGTGAAAAAAAGCGTCCTGACATAGCCCTGCTATTTATGTAGGCCGTAGTGGGCACTTCTTGTCTCTGACATATTTTCAAATTTGTACAATTACTTTTAAACTAACACCAATGTTAACGTACACCTTAAACATGCGTTTATTTTAATTATGTACAAGAAAACTATATGTTAGGATTTTTTTTTTTTAATTACTCTTTGCCATGTAATTATTGGAAATTCCTTTTGCGCTGTAATAAATCGGATTTTCCCGTATTGATCGAGATTTTTCTTTGCAGTAAATAAAACGGTTATAAGATACTAGGCAAAGTGCCTAGCTTCGCTTAGGTTTTCAAAAAAGTTGAGAAATTGAATGATTAATTAATAGGCTGTTATGTTAAATGCTAACGGCCTAAATTTATTCAGTGGGGTACTTTTATTGTCACCATAACTTGATGGAATATTCGCAAACTTATTACTCGCAAGGTTATTAGAAGTAAAAGGGCTTCCATAGAAATTATCAATCAAATATTATATTAAATTAATTTTGCTATTAATTTTACAATTTCAATACAATTTCAATACAATAGAAAACTTAATTTATAACAAAATATCTATTTAAGACAATGCTACACTTTATGATTTTTGTTTTTTCTTAAAAAGAGTATACAAAATATTAAAAAAATTGTTACATTAAAAAGTTACCTCCCCTGTTCATAGACCAAATGACCAAATCTCGTATAATGAGAATTTCACTCGCAGTCATTGTTTATGCTGACCAACAGTTTTTCCATTCGGCACAGTAATCTATAGAGGTGTATGCAAAAAATTAGCCAGATATACTGATTTTAAGTACCCTAAAATCCGCGTTGAAATTACCCTCTTTTTTTTTCCCATAAAATACAAAGGGAAATACAACTGGTCAGTTTTGACCCATTTAACGAATTTTCCCGGACATGGCGAATATTTTGTGACACCCCAAGGCGTTCTCCTACCACCTCACACAATTTCAAGGTTGGTCGTCGGAGGAAATTTTTTTTCTTAATATAGCCCATATAAGGCGCCGGTCAGTCGAGGTCAGTTTTGACCCCCTCTCCGTAGACTTTTCGGCAAACCGTCACCGGCCCTCGTGTTCTATCGCCCCAAGGCACCATCGTGTCAACTTTGACGAGCCTGCGGCGCCGGGAAGTGCCCTATTGGGCACCCGACCACTTTGCTTTATATATATAGATATGTTGGCTTGTATATTTTTTATCAAATAGATTGGAGACTTTTTGGGCTATAATTATTGTGCAACACTTTGCCAAATCCAACACCTTTATAAATATTACATATTATTTTTATTCCGCTATACTGGATAGTAGGCCTATGTATATCTGCTACTTTAGATTAACAAAAGACTTTAAATTATTATTCTTTTATATAACAACAAGTATTTGAATAAAATTTTATCAACACTATTTTATATAGATTTTCACAAATATTATCATAAAATACACAGATATGGCTTTTTATGAGTAATATACTATAATCCTAACATGACACTTTTGCCATTTCATTTAACCTTTATAATGCCTCCGCCATCCCCCCCCCGCCCCCTCATTATACTTACCTATGTTTATCCATTCTCGAAAATGTCTTCTATAAAATGATAACATTACATTTAATGTACCTCACAAATACCGGAATGTACCGGAATATATCAACTAAGAGCGTTGGTATGGACAAACGTACGCCCCTTCAGCAGTGGCTTAGCTAGGATTTTCGGGCCCCTATGCAAAAATTATTATTGGGCCCCTACTACGTCAAACTGTAAATTTTGTATTGTATACGTTATTATTGAGTATTTATACGGTATTATTATGTAGTATTCCGTAACATAAAATACCTTTGATTTTATATATCTTTTATGTAAAAACAAACAAATTAACTGTAAGCCTGTAACATGAAGTAACCTAATACAGTAGCATCACAGGGCAGGGGCCTCACAATTAAAGCGTGACACCATGACGAAAACTCGTAAAATACTACCGTCAAAAGTGTTTTATTCAGTTAAAATAATATTATATTAAGTAGAGGGGTAGCACTCCACCGAAAATGCAAAATTGTTGGACATGGTGGGGGTGACACACACTAAACGCACCGGGTGTTATCAAATCTTGTGACGCCACTTACCAAATACACATTTTAAAAAGTTGCTCATGATTTATTTAGATTTTTTTTTTCTTTTTTATAAGTTTGCAAAAGGATTAATATGTTCCTTGAAGTCCATTTTAGTTGCTTCTATATGTTCAATACTTAGGATGACCAAGTTACTGACCCAAAGAGAATATTTAAAACTGGTTTCATAACATCATCATAATGAAGAGACTTGGGGCGCCCAACTGTATACTACTGCCGAGGCGACTGGAGGACACCCCTTATTTTCTTTAACCATTGATTATAGTAGTCCTCCGTATCCCTATGGCATGGCGCTCATAAAAACACGTATATGTGCCGTAGTTCTTACGTAGGGAACCCGGGATGCCGGCTAAAGCACCTGTGCAGTTTGACCGTTGAATTAAGCAGTAACCCTGACCACTTGTGCAGGACACCCAATTAACTGACCCCAGGTGCTAAGAAAGCCGCTGGGAAACTCTGGATGGCAAACTGAACCGCCTTACAGCCAGGGCCAGGGGCGGAACTACAGTGCCGCCAGACCCCGCAATGCGGGGGGGCCCACGCCATTTAGGGGCCCAGAGCCGACCATAATACATTTGTTTATAGTTAAAAAAAAAAGTAAATTTTCTTTCATTTTTGACTTGATGGTTGTTTTGTAAAAAATTACCGTAGCTGCGGTTGGATTATCTTTATTCTATAGACACCACCCCACGCTCTTGTTTCATCTTTTTCCCTTTGTTTTTAAACAACTTTGAAAGCTGAGTATTTCTCCTACAATTAAACTTATCAAAGATAAGCAAATGTTCAAACCACTTCCATGACTTATTTCCCTTTTTAAAAAAATTGTCAAATAGGGGTAATCATAAGCTCCTTTTAATAGATTTGTACTAAACAAATTAAAAAGCAATTACTTCTCTTAATTATTATTGTTTTATAAGTAATTACTAAAGAATAATATTGTATAAAAGGGAAATGTATTGAAATGTATTAAATCAATAATATTTTAAACATTACTAATATAATTACGAGAAAAACATAAAAATAAACATAACACGAGACACCATTACTTATACAAAGCTTTCATATTTTATATTATTTTGACCGACAGGATGATAAGAGGGCTTCTATCAAAAATTAATTAAAACTGATTTCACAAAACACGCTAATGACTCCTGCTGTCACTTGCATTTGACCTTCACCTCCTTCACTGTTATGCCTTTCAATTTTGTATAATCATATACATGACATCTTGTAAATATTCATTGTGTACATTTGTAAAACCTTTCGTTTTCATTTGATGTTTGAAATTATGTCTAGAATTTGATGTTGATGTACTTGTTTTAAATTGCAAATAAAAGTATTTAAAAAAAAAAAAACAAAAAAAAAAAAAAAAAACACGCTAATGCACTTACACACATGACATGATGTTGAATTTTTTTTTTATTGATGCTTTTCAAATCCCGAACAGGACAGCAATGAGTATCCTATGTTCGTATTATGTGATTGCATATATATATATATATATATATATATATATATATATATATATATATATATATATATATATATATATATATATATATATATATATATATATATATATATATAGGGGGCCTAAAAAAATTTTTTGCGGGGTGGCCCTTTTTTTCTAGTTCCGCCACTGGCCAGGGCGCTGCCCTCCGAACGAAATAAACAAATATTTAATGGCAGAAAACTTTATTGGAGTCCGAGTTTCTTTCTGGCTTCTCTTCGAGGAGGAGGCACTTCTCCTCATATGTGGGGTTATGATAGGAAATTTCACGGTCAGTAGAGGTTTGTCTGAATTATTCTAAACGACTTCCTTAATGTTTCTTGGCATTTGTATTAATGCATACAAAGACAATAAGATAGACAAACAAAAATCTTTAAGTAGCGGCATATTGATTGGAGATATATTAGATCAACAACAAAAGTGTGATTTGTGTTAAAACTAGTAGAAAAACATTGACACGTTTTCGACTTTGCTTGTTGTGAAAACACTGTCCACTGCTGTTAACTAAAAATGGCTCAATTATAATCATGGACGGATGGAATTTCGTTGAGGACTGAGAGGGGAAGGGGGTGAAGGTTTATGTCGGTGGGGTAGAGAGTTTTTAGAGATGCGTATAAATTTGCGGGTGCCGGATGTGAATCTCACAAAAGAGTCAATGTTTAAGTTTATCTATAGGCTTAACGGATAGCCCGACAATGCAACAATGCCTGTAGTGTTATTAATACCGATGGGCCCTGTACAACCCCTCCCCAGTAAGAAAGGTCTGGGGGCCTTTTTGGAACTTTTGATTACTTCTACAGTAGAAAAGAAACTGGATTTCCGTTTTCTTTTCAAAATTATTTTTATAATACAAATATTGAAATTCCAATGTAAAAGTTTTTAAAAATTTAAGGAGGTAAAGGGCCCCTATTAGCCTTGGGCCCCTATGCATTGCTTACGCTAGCTTTACGGTAGCTACGCCACTGTCCTTCAGCTAGGTTCAAACAACTTCTTGTCAATATTATTTACATCTGATTAACCAGAGAGCTAAATGATAAATCCGTTTTTATGTCAATGTCAAATAGGCTACTCACAGCTAATAAAAAGAAGTTTGTCCACAAAAGGAATGTGTTTATTGTAGATAGTGGGTAATTCGTACCGCCAAAAGAAAGAAATTAACGTGTGTGTTTTCTCTTTCTCTCTCTCTCTCTCTCTCTCTCTCTCTCTCTCTCTCTCTCTCTCTCTCTCTCACTCCACCCCATGCGAATGGCTATCTCTGTTTCTGTCAATGATCAGATCACTGAGTAAGTAATAGATATACCTGTGTGGATCAGCCGACTAACTCAATGATAATTGCTCCGACTCTAAGCATTTTGAATCTATAAATAGAATAACAAAAGGAAGGAAACGAAATTTTAAACAGATTTCCGCCATTACAAAAATAACATGAAACCTACAGTTCACGACACATCGCATAGGAATTTAAAATAATTATTAGGCCTATAGGTTTAATACATATTGCATAGAATATAGAAATTTAGATCTAGTGTTCTGGTTAGTAGTTATTTCATGTTTATTAGAATATAGTCTAGATTCTAGAATCTAATCATACGGCTGCATAAAAAGAAAACCCGTCTAGATCTAGAGAAGCGGAGGTAAGAAGGTTAAATTAGTAATTTACATGATTTTTATTGTAGTGTCACTGTTTGTTAGGCCCAATTATTAAATCTTTAGATCAGAGGTCAAGCTTGATCATGTGTGGCATCTATTGTGGTGCATTGGAATGAAAAGCCCATATACTTAAATATAGAATCTAGTAGGCCTATACTATAACTGTACTGCCCTATACTTTAAATTTGTTACCACAAGAAAAAAGCCCATTTACTATTATTAGTTATAATTAAATTAAATTGAAATATTTGTTTATCTTTATAGGTTATAGTGAATGCATGCTAATGAGCATTATTCAAGCTGCTGTTATATTTAGGCTTATAGGCCTATATACTCTATAGCTTAGGTTATATACTATAGACTATATATTATATACCAATATTGTGCATAAAACTTAAAGCATGTAAGCATACACAATAATAATTATCATTAGACCTATAGTAACTAAGACTCGTACTATTTAGTACTACTTTAATATTACCTTTAAACTATTAGGCATAATGAAATAATGATTAATGATTTCAGTGTTTTCCGCACTCGAGAGGAAAGAGGTTGCAGGGAACTTAGAGACTAATCTTTGCCAACATACTGGATTTCAGGTGATGACAATAGGAGCAGATAGTATGCGGCTCAGTTAATACTAAAAACAATTGATTTTAGTAATCAGAGTTTCTTCCAGGCATCTCTTCTGGGGGGCCGAAGCCCCCCCCGAACAATTTATACCGCCCCCCCCCCCCGAACGAAATGAAATTTATATAATTTATATAGAAAATATATACTTTTAACAGTGTCCGCCCCCCCCCCCCCCCCCCGAAGAAAGTTTACCGCCCCCCCGAAAATTTCAAGTGCCCCCCCGGAGAAAAAAGTCTGGAAGAAACACTGTTAGTAATTAGTGGTAAGCTCTTTTTTAAAATAATATATTATAACATGGTATCGCAAAGGTTCAGGTTCTCCAATAAATGGTAATTAGAGTCAGGTTTTAGGACTAAAGTTTAATGCTTGGTTAGTAATATGCATTAAGTTGGGAAAGACATAGAAATGGAAATACATGGAATTTAATGTTTTCATTCGCAAACGTTACTATTTAAATTTTTTTAGGCCTGCTATTTATTGCTGAATAATAAAATCACTATACTTATCCACTATATTATTTTTAAATAAAGTGAGTTTAGAGCAGTCGAGTAAATAAATTTAATAGCAAGACATAACTAAAATTTACAATGAATATATATATATATATATATATATATATATATATATATATATATATATATATATATATATATATATAAATTGATTGCTATTTTATAAAAGTATGTAAATCACAGAATAAACATTAGTTTGTATTGTGTCTTCAATTTAACAAAAATGCTACTACTTTGATGGATTGCACTAAATAGGGGTTAGCTTTAATTTAATAATTTGTGAGATATTCTTGCTAATCTATGTGTAAATTGCTTTTCAGGACTATGAGTGTGTGTTTGGCCATCCAGATTTCATAACTACAACTGATGTTCAATTACAAGGGATATTAATCAGTCTCTGTAGACTATACACTGTGCCTAGTTTCATCCTCAGGTAACTGTACTATAGGCATAACCCATTTTTTAAAGTAATTATTATAGCAAGAGATAGCATTATATATTATAATAAATATAATGGATTTTAATCCAAAATATTCTATTAATTATTGTCTTTTCTTAAATTCTAATAAATCAATGAGTTGTACAACATAGAGGGTATTATATTTGAATGATAATTGAAACACATATTGTTATAGAGCTCAAAACTATGTACTTATCTAATATAATTAATATACTGAAATAGTTTTATTGAAGCATATTATTTCATATTTTACCACACAGAGACTGATGTGTAAGCTTAAAGTAAAGACATCAAATCAAAGTATCAGCTATCAAGAAGGTAAATATTGATAGTCTACTTCATTAATCTTCAATATGAATGAACACAATTTTAAATCTATAATCTTTGCTGATAATGTTTGTTTCTTGTTATTCATAATATTCAGTGCTTTATCTTTTCAAAGTAATTAGTTATAGTAAAGAAATAGTAGAGATAGTAATATAAATTTGTAATGTATTTCTCTTGCTAGTTCCACAAAAGAATATATCAAAATATTTTGTCTTTATTTCATTTAGAGAAGAACATTCAAAATCATATTGTGATACACAAATCAAGGAAGTCTATGACCAGCATTATGATACAGGCCAAGAAAAAGCTGGATATTTGATTGGAAGGGTGGCACAAAAAAGATGGGTTATCACTAGGGAATCAAGCTCGGAATACAGTTCACTGTTGGGACATCAAGCCAAATACCTTTAAACTTATTTGAATCATTTTTGCTGTTTATTATAATTCATCCAATTGTCTTATTAAATATATAAATTTATATATATACAAAATTCCTAATATAGAATTTCTAAAAATGTTTTATTATAATATTTAAAAATGAAACAAACATGTTCCCAGAACACAGCCACATAATGTCAACACGTTCCCAGAACACAGCCACATAATGTCAACATGTTCCATGAACTCACAAAATGGCAACATGTTCCCAGAACACACAAAATAACATTATGTGCCCAGAACACACAAAATGGCAACATGTTCCCAGAACACACAAAATGGCAACATGTGCCGTTAACAATACTTCACTTTTTCCTTAACAATTTTACAAGCATGTAATAAAGCCATAAATCTTTACTGTGGATATAGCCAATAAATATGCAATTTGTAGTTTTCAATGCCTGTCCCATGCATATTATTTAGCCTAGTGTTTTGGGCCTTGCTTCATTTACTCAATAAATTATATAGGCATGAGAATTTTCATTTTAATCTGCAAAAGCTACATTCTGTACATTATTATTTTCAAACTACATCATATATTTTTCTCTTCTCTGATAAAAAATATTCCTCATATTGTTTGTGTCAAGTATTTTTTATTTTTATCTATGCAATGCTATATTCCTATTTTATAATAATTACTTTTATACAAATTCTTTTGAAAACTGTTCTTTATTGATTTGTATCATTTTCTTTATTTCTGAAAAATAAAACTTTGTTTAGAAATCCCTTTTTTTTGTTTGTGTACAAATTAATAAACATAAATACCTACCAGGCATAATATCCAGCAACACTAAACAATTAAGTAGGGCCTTTTGTTAGTAATGGTAAATTTTATACTAATTATTGTGATTTCTCGTGGCCACCTTGTTCTGAATATCTTCAACTGTGTCAATGTTGCTACCAACTCCAATAATTAAAACTGAAGTCATTTACTATGAAGTAAAACTTGGGTGTAATCCAAATCCACCCAGTTGCCGGGGGCAAGGTACCAAACATGATGTCCAGTAGAGGGTTAAGAAAGTATCATTATTAAATCACTATTAAACCCCTCCTCGCCTACGCCATTGCTTGTACGCATATGGACGTTATCGGAATTCACTGTATTGCTTATAAGTCGAAAATGCGAAAAAGACACGTTTAACATTACTAGTTTGAAGAATAACATTCATGTTAGCCGAAACAGATGTATTCTAAAGTTATTTAAATTCATTTTATTGTTCATTACGATTATGTTGTCGTAAAATATAGACCTATTTAAAAAAGCATACCTAAAAAGTGTTTTAACGCATTTTCTTCTTAGAAAAGCCTCACATGCATGATATCATTAACATTACGGCAAATCAAACCCTTTAAGAAGCCCCATCAACCATTCAATTATTACGATGGGCAACAAATAAAACGCCCGCATCAAGGTACAGTCCTTATGCTATCGACATTAGCTCAACCCCGGCAACTAACGTGTCCCAAAACCAAGAATTGAAATCTTGACCCATTATTCTGATTAATTAATGGTTAAACATCTTTAGGCATCTGAAAACATAAGTTTTTAATCTAGTGTACTCAAAAAGGAACAACATAAAGCTTTATGCCGCCTTAAAAACCCAATCCCATGTTACGCAAGGAGTCGATAGAGAAAGAATAAGGCTTTGAGTCAGAACAGGCAAAGGCTTAGATAACTGCCAAAATACCTAATCTGTAGACCTCACAAGTCTAGACGATATATTTGTGCCTCTGTGGTCAGTAGGCACATAAAAGAGAAAAGTAGAGGAAGCAGAGGTTTAGCAACCTATTCCGGCGCCCGGGGGCGAACTATCACTGTTGTGCCAACCCTATTCAAGCGCTGGCAAAAAGGCGCCCATCCCTACATACACTCCCCTATATAAAATAGTTGAGGATATCAGTCATGTATAAATCTGTTTTCTTAAATTTTACTGAAGAATGAGGATTTTTAAAAAATTGTCAACCCCTTTTGGCGCCCCATACGATCTGGGGTCTCTGACAGGAAGCAATGCAATTTTTCTCCATAAAAATAAAAGCCAGATGCAATTTGACACTGTTCGTACGAGAGTCATCAAATTTTGGGGAGTTGGTGAAAAGAATTTCGAGAAAGAAAAAATTTCTTAAGTGTGGCACCCTGGGAGGGTTCGATTTTTCTCATTATACGATTATGAGCTCAGAATCCAGAGGGGCTATCTCATCAATTGCGGTCATAGGTAATACTAGATTCAGCAGAGGCGTAGCGAGGGGGGCGGGGGGTACATATTTCCCCGGGCGCCAACCTTAGGGGCGCCAAAATGGGTGGGAAAAATTTAAAAGCTCATTTTAGCTACAGTTTTGCATTATAAATATTTTAAAAATACGGGGGGGGGGGCGCCAAATTGAAAATTTGTCCCCAGGCGCCAGGAATGGTGCTACGCCTCTGAGATTCAGTGATAAAACTACACCAGGTTCATCCGCCAGCTCCCCGGCGGTTGAGTGGCCCAGAGCGGCCAAGACCCACCTCGGGCGATACTACGGTTTAGATGGGCTACTATAAATGTTCACTAAGTAGAATAATGAGCGCCCGCCGGCGCCCTGGCAGTTCGCGACAGCGAACGCCCCGGGCTCTACAGAGAGTGCCTCTTTAAAGAGCACCCTACAATAGGGACACGGTGGCACACGACATTTTATAATTAAACCGAATTAGGGGCGCTCCTGCGGGAGTATAACCAGTGGCTCCCTGGAGCGCCAAGGGACGCGTCTCTAACACATGCGCGGTCGCCAATGTGTGTTCTACCTCACTATTACAGAGGTTGATTAACGTACACTCAAGGCTTTCATACAGTGAGCCTTGGTGCGTCTAGGCGGCAGTGTGGACAAACCCGCGCCCCAAAAACGAATATGTGGGTTTGTTTGTTTAAGCATTACCAAAGATTTCATTCGTTTGTCATTCAAATTTGAGAAGTTAATGCTAATACCCCTGTGGTGGTTTCTGCGAAAACAAATTCGATTTGGTGGCGCCCTGGCAGGGTTCCATTTAGCTCCCCGGGTTTTCCCGTGAGTACTATGGTACCTTTGTTCGTTTTAATAATTGCGAAACGCTATGAATATGATGGGCTACTATAATCGCTTACTATACCGAGTGAGGCGCCTTCCTACCTAGGCCCACCTACCTACATACCTAACTTCCTGCCTACGCACCTACCTATCTACTAACCTGCCTGCGCTGCTGCCTGCCTACCTACTTTCCTGCCTACCGTTATTCCTGCCAAGCTGCTTTCCTTCCACCCCGCCTGTCTACCCACCTCACATCCTACTTACACACACACATATCTTCGTATGTATATATGTATATGTTAGTGTGCTCTAGGACTATGTATTTTTACATTTTTGTTGTTACGTAGAACTATTCAGTATAAAGGAGTTTCCTTTTCTTTTTTTTTTTTTTTTTTGACGTTGTAACTGCCGCTAAAATATTCTTTTTTGTATGTGTGCATAAAATAGTGTAGGTTTATTAACAAAAGTAAATTTTAGTATGTATTTAAATGTATATAATCATTTTCGTCAAGCCAATGTGTTCATAATCTTAAATTTAAAAACCCATGAAACTCGATAGCCAAAGATTTAGAATGAGAATAATTGCTATTTAACCAGAAACACCTATTCTAATTATTGTAATAATATTTTTTTAAATAAATATACACAGAGATAGATTGTTTTCTTATATAATTAATTTAAAAAGTCAACTGTATTTCATAACGAAAATTAACACAAAATACATTCGAATAGAAACTGTCAAGGGAGACTACTCTAATATTTGTAGGAATAAGAGTTTTTTTTTTAGAGTTTTTTTATTATTAGAAGAAAAGTTAATCATGTAGGTTCAATAAAAGATTACCTTGCATTTAAAAAAAAAAGATATTCGATAGGTTTAGAATGAGAAATAGTCAAAATTATTTATTATATTCATTAGTTGTTTTTTTTTAATAATATAGTACAAAGACCTTATAACAGTTAAATGTTTATTGAATGAATGTTAGGTGTGTGTGTGTTATAAAAAGGCGAATTGGATTCAGAGAGAGTGGTGTGGTACGCATGCGCGAAAGAATAGGAAGTAAGAGGGGAAGAACATGGCGTAACTGGACTGAACACGCTGTCTTTGTAAACACGAAATAAATATGAAAACTTGCAAAAGAAGGCTTGTCTTGTGATTTCGTATGTGTAATGTAAAAGGTAGGAGAAAGGCCTGCAACAAGTTTATATCGTGAACCCAGTCACACAAAACAAAAAGCCTGTGACATTTTGGTGTCAGAAGTGGTCGGTGCTCTACACCGTACAAGAAAGAATTAAATCTAAATTTAGTAGTGAAACTGATTAACTATGCTTGCATCATTCATTAAGATGGAGTTCGATCTCTATGCCAAATACACTGAATTGGCTAATTCGGCAGGATACACTGGGGCAGAGAAGGCAAATTGGGTAGACAAGAACGTAGCTGGGGTTATTGAAAGGGAAGAAAGAGCTTCCGAGAGGGAAGAAAGAGCTGCCGAGAGGGAATTCGCTATATATATAATGGAGATTGAGAAGGAAACAGTTAAAATAAAGGCTGAGACAGCAAAAGTTAAAATGGAGGCTGAGAAGGCTAAAGTTAAACGGGAGGCTGAGAAAGAAAAAGTTAAAAGGGAGGCTAATAGCCTATCAGATAGGGAACTAGATCTAGCAGAAGTTAAAATGGAGGTCGGAGACAAAGACAAACAGAGACAGCATGAGTTAGAGTTAGAAAAAAGTAAAAATAACCAATCTCAAGTACCACTCACAGACAGAGAGACTAAACATGAGTCAACAGGTTTTTCTCCTTCTGAATGGATATATGGGGTAAAGCCAAGAGACCCATTAACTTTATTGAAACACAAATTATTAAATAAACAGGAAGAGGCATTTGACCCTCATGAACCAGTAAACCAGACTAGAGAGAGAATAGTTTATGGTGCTATGACAGCCCAAGAGAAT